ACAAGACAGGCATAACAAACAAAATCAAAACAAAGGGTTCCACAAAACAAATCCAAAAACAAACAAGCCTGAAAAACGAACAAACAAACCCGCAAAACAAACAAACAAAACAAACCCTACAAAAACACTGTAAAACATGAAGTAACTCAATATGAGCCAAAATTGTTTTCCGGCGAATGAACCCGTCAGCGTGTCCCCTCTTACCACTGGTATTCCACTCCGCGTTGTTCTCATGCCGTCCGTCTCTCATGGTGTTCTCCACAAAGTCTAGCGGGTCAGCCCCGGACACCAAAATGTCCCTCAGCAAAGCTATGTAAGCAATGGCTAGTCTCAGGGTGTCGATTTTGGACAAACGTTTTTCAAACGGGAATGTGGGGACATGCAGACGTAGCTCTTCGAAAGCGCCATTGATGCTCATCATCCGCTTCCGCTCTCTGACATTGGCGGCTGCGCGGTGAACCACGCCAAACTGGAACCCGTACTGCGTGTGATAGGAGCCTGGGGGAGCGCACACAGCACGTGAGGATGAAACCAACAACAATAGACGTAGTCAGGTACAGAACAAACAGGACACCGTCAGATCACAGCAGGCTATACTTTTTAGTTTTAGTAGAGGTTTTTACGGCGCTCGCAACTGCATAAGGCCATATGAGCGCCGGCTATACTTTGATCTCAGCAAAATAGACATACACATATAGTCAGATATAACAACAAAATAGATATACATGTGTCGTCAGATACATAACAAAATGGACATAATCACACAACGAACTAGACATAGTCACAGCCATAGTCAGATCTCAACAAAATGGACATTTCGCACGACTGGAAGGTGATGAAGGATGGCATTTTGGAACAATTATATTAACAATCCAGACAAGAGAATGAGACTGGGAGAAGAGCAAAGAGGAGGCTCCATTTGGCTGTGGGTTGGGGTTTGTTGTTTGTTGTGCTTTGTTTGTTTGTTAGTTTGTTTTGTTGTTGTTGTTGTTGTTGTTTGTTGTTTTGTTGTTGTTGTTGTTTTGGTTGTTTTTTTGTGGTTTTTTTGTGTTTTTTTTTTGGGGTTTTTACTGATGTGTATTGGGGGGTTTTCTAAATACACAACAAATTACTGATATTGATATTGTGTGTGTGTATGTGTGTGTGTGTGTGTGTGTGTGTGTGTGTGTGTGTGTGTGTACGTGTGTGTGTGTGGGTGGGGTTGTGTGTGTGGCTTTGTGTGTGTGTGTGGTTGCTTTTTTAAGTACTTTTTAAAAAGTGTACACTGTTGTCTTTTGCAGAAGTTGCAGCTCCTGCATAACATAAAAAAGTTCATGAGCATTGAAAGGATTATAGAAACCATTCAAAACGTATAATATGTGAATTTAACGTCCAAATCTAGACGACACAGCCAAATAAGTAGAGAGTCCTGGAGACCCCATCAACAACAAAAGTTCACGAATGTCCTTTTGGGGATTTGAACAAGGGCCGTACGCGCTGTGGTCCAGGATAACGCTAACTCGCTAACTGAGGTAACAGTGCAGTGGCTAAAATATGGAAAAGTTATACAAACAAACGAATAAAACTGGAGATGGAACGGAAGTAGTGTGTACACGGAATGAGTAATACAACTGAAACAAGAGGGGGAAAATGGACAGTTAGAAGTACCTTGTCTGCTGTGGGGTATCCTTCTCCAATACAAGGAAGGAACGACAGATAAGCAAGACCATGGCAGAAAAGCACATACTCAAAAAACAAGAAGCAACAAGACAACGTATAACAAAGAAAGCTGATTTGTTCGATTTAGAAAAAAAAAACCCTTAGAGACTGACATGCCGAGAACGAATATTATAGGCGGCGTCCATTGATAGGATCGGTTCGGTTCGGTTGACTCAGGGCCTTGGAAACAAACGCGTTTGTTTTTGTATGTCATAATCGAATTGGGTCGAAATGTGCCACGCTGTTAGATTTTGACCATTCATAGAGGAAAATCCGATTTGTCCCAAGTTCATTCGAACGACCGAACAGAACCGAACCGAACGATCTAGCCAACGAGAACCGCCTATTACGATCGTATTGGACACTGCATCCCGAGCTGAGATTGTCATTGCCGCAAAAACATGTTCTAGTTGCAAACGTGTACTTGTGTACTCTGAGCACAACAGTGACGCGTCCGATGTTGGGTCAGTTAGTTAGTTTTAGTAGAGGTTTTACGGCGCTCGCAACTGCATAAGGTAATATGAGTGCCAGAAAATAAGAGGTGTTACAAGAGAGTAACAAACATAAAAAGAAGGAGGGAGAAAGGGACGATAGATGATGGGTCAGTTAAAATTTTAAAAAGAAACAATCAAAAGATTTGATATTGGAGATTTCTGACCACCTGTTATTTGCTTAACTACAAGCAGTGGATGGTTGGCGGGTGCTCAGGTGTGGTTAGCTTTTCTTTTTTTCTTTTTTTTTTTGCTATCGAACATCTATCGTCCGTATCTCTCCTCCTTCTTTTTTGTGTTTGTTACTCACTTATAACGCTCCTTATCTTCGGCATTTGTATTTCGACCTAATTGTATTGCAAGCGCCGTAAAATCCTTACAAAAATCTAAACTAACTTCGAGCAAGACATTGTGCCGAGAGCCGTCCAGTGTGGCGCAGCCGGCTGCTGCCCTAGAATTTCGAAATTCTATCTGCTCAGTATCTAGTTTGGAGAAATTTTAAGTTTAAAATTTGGAGTTTCCCAACTTGCCAAGCTTTTACTAATGCAATTCTTTGAATATTTTAATAGCGACTGCGAATAATGTTGCGATTTTGATAGTGAGCAGATAATACATTTGGTTTCTGACCGTATGGTCTTAGAAACTCAAAAAGGCCAAAATCACAAACGTACCCAAAACCGCGGTAGTTCAATGGGCTAGAGAGACGGCTGAATTTTCCTTGCTTTCCTGCTACAGAAAATCTTCCCACTCTGACCCGTGTGTGTGTGAGTGTGTGTGTGTGTGTGTGAGAGAGAGAGAGAGAGAGAGAGAGAGAGAGAGAGAGAGAGAGAGAGAGAGAGAGAGAG